ATGTCGCATTAAATGTTGTAAATGTAACATTTTAAGGATGCTCGATATTAACTTAGCACCTTTCTAACAAACTAGACTAAAAACTCATTTCTTTTAAAGCATAATAATACCAGTATTCAACACCTTTCAATGTTAATATTTAGTGAGAGATTAAGGTTTTGTATCCTTTAAAAGAAGCCAGCGTGGAACGACTACTTGTAAAGAGAGTTGGAATGAGACAAAAGAAGTTCATTGGACATTTGAATCCAGGGGCGAAGGCTGACTTGTTTGACAGGGTAATCAAAGTGAAATGGGACCAGATAGGGCCTGGAGATAGCACACTCACACAAGTCACAAGAATCTTACTGGCACTGGAGGCTGCAACTCTGAGTTGTGAATGAAAACAAATCCTGAATTCATGTTGTATGCTTGTTCAACCGCTAAAATAATCGGGAAAGTATTTAATTAAATATTTATTCTAACTAACCTTAAATTTAACTTTAGGTTTGAACACACGAACACCAAGGAAAGAAGTACAGATGTCATCACTACAATGGCATGTTATACCAGACAGCCGAAACACTTTGGTAGAGCACGCCAATTATTAATTTTTTATTTCACATTTGGCTGTTTTTTGTCTAGCTTTTCGCGGCCAGGAGCCGCTGTCATAATCGAGGTCACGATCTGATTATAGGACGTTAAAAAGTCGAGGAAAAAAACAAGCACTAGCAGTGTAGTAGCAGGAGTCAAAGGATTATTAGGAGTTAGTTCCCCTCACATCTGTGAGGTAGACTCGACCAGTGTAATAGTTCGCTTAGATAATCAGCGCGTCTCGGTGCTTATAACTGTGGCCCGAAAGGGGTGAACAGGGTATATGCGACAATGAAACAGTTCTGACTGCTATGCACATGTTCCCTTCAAATCTATTGGTTGACTCTTCCAGCCTCACTTTAAGCTTACTTAATCAAAGCTTGTGACGGCTTATGGAGTGGCCCGATAGGGGCGAACAGGCTATTTCTGTGGCAATGAAACGGTTTTGAAGGTTAGGCATAGTCTATTGTTCATTGGTGATTATGAACGTCTTTTTACATTTAATTTATGAGGTTTACGTCTATGGGTGAATTTGACTGCGACAGTGTTTCAAAATTAGGAAGGGAAGCAGTGATTATTTGATTATATAGACGCTTCGCCTCTGTTTGAATCAATGAAAAGGTCTGAGCATTTTGCCGGTTAACTGCAGAAATAGGAAGCAAAAGAAAAATAAATAAGCAGGGGTATACGGATGATACAAAATGATAAGGGTAATACGAGGTACATAAAGTATATTTTATTAATGCTTTTAGAGCACCCAACAAGAGAAAAGAGCGGCGAACCATGATCGCCGATGTCTGTCAGTTCGAAATCGGACACTTGAAAAAGGAGAAGGAGGAGGAGACGGAGAAGGAGAAGGAAAAGGAGAAGGAGAAGGAGAAGGAGAAGGAGAAGGAGAAAGAGAAGGAGAAGGAGAAGAAAAAGAAGAAGAAGAAGAAGAAGAAGAAGAAGAAGAAGAAGAAGAAGAAGAAGAAGAAGAAGAAGAAGAAGAAGAAGAAGAAGAAGAAGAAGAAGAAGAAATAGAGGAGGAGGAGGAGGAGGAGGAGGAGGAGGAGGAGGAGGAGGAGGAGGAGGAGGAGGAGGAGGAGGAGGAGGAGGAGAAGGAGGAAGGAGGAGCAGGAGAACAACATGAAAACAACAACAACAACAACAACAACAACAACAACAACAACAACAACAGCAGCAACAACAACAGCAGCAGCAGCAACAACAACAATAACTGATTGAAAGGGTTAAAGACTCTTGCTGTCGAAGGCTCACGCCATCCCATCATAACACCCTTTGTGAACCTATTATTCCCAGCTTTCCATCTCAATCCCTGGAGGGTACATTATGCAAACCGGCAGCATAAGCACATGGGGGCAGTTTTTCAAGAAAAAGAACTATTCAACTAAAAATAATACGTCTGGGCTGTTGGAAAGTACGGAAAGGCAAAAGATTGGTCTTTGTTCGTTCGTTCGTTCGTTCGTTCGTTCGTTCGTTCGTTCGTTCTTTCGTTTGTTCGTTTGTATTTGACGTTTTTATTTTTGTTTTGTTCTGTTGTTTTTTTTGTAAGAATCAGCACTTGCAACCCACATAGGCGGCATAAATGCCAATGACGAGTTCGGGGTGAAAAAATGGGACAATGGTCAAAATTCAAAGGAATTCGATCACAGATTCGATCATGAACCGTGCCTGAATGCGTCACCATCATGAAAGGAAGTGAGAGAGACAACGAGAGAGAGACACAGAGAGAGAGAGAGAGAGAGAGAGAGAGAGAGAGAGAGAGAGAGAGAGAGA